AAAAAAAGGCCGGGCATGGTGGCTCATCCCTGTGATCCCAGCACTTTGGGAGGCCAAGGCAGGCAGATCACTTGAGGCCAGGAGTTTGAGGCCAGCCTGAACAACATGGGAAAACCTCGTTCCTACTAAACATACAAAAAAATTAGTTGCGTGTGGTGGTGAACACCTGTAGTTTCAGGAGACTGAGGCACAAGAATCACTGGAACCTGGGAGGCGGAGGTTGCAGTGAGCTGAGACCGGGCCATTGCCTGGGCAACAGAGTGAGACTGTCTCAAAGAAAAAAAAAAAAAAAAAAATCTTTACTATGCTTTTCCACTTAAGGTATTAGTCACTCTTGTGCTGTATAAGGTAATATCCACAGGTTTTGGGAATTAGGATGTGGGTGGATCTTTCTGCAGAGGGGGGGCAACATTTACATAGAGTGACCCCAACCTGTGCCCCGACCCCTCTCCAGGGTTCAACTTCTCAGCAGAGTCTGTGGCCAGGCCTGAGGGGAGGGTGAACATGTACCACCACCTTGTGGAGACGCTCAAGTTTGCCAGGGGGCAGAGGTGGAGGCTGGGGGACCCTCGCAGCCACCCGAAGCTCCAGGTGAGGTTGCTGAGGTTGCTGGGATGGAGGGCTGTCCTCCTCCCTGGCTCAGGACTTAGCATGAAAGGAGGGTCAGGCCCGGCAGGGGGAGGTTGGAGAGAGATGTATGTGGTTCTAGGCCAGGGCAGGACTGAAAGGGATCCCGGGGTGACAGGTACAGGGGTCAGATGCAGGAGTGGCACCATATCTCAAAGGACCTGGAGAGCGGGTGGAGTCTAGACCTAGCCTGGGCTTGAGGGAGGCCTGGCCACAAGGTAGAAGACAGACTGGAGGTGGCCCCCATGGGGGCTGAGCTTGTCCTGCCCTTGGTTCTATGGATCCCGCTTGGCCCCTCACTGACCCTGCCACCTGCCCACCCACCCCAGAATGTCTCCTGGGACCTGCTGGGGGAGCCCTGGCCCAGCTCATCCGCCAACAGATCGATGGCTGGGGGGACCACCAGCTCAGTCACTACAGCTTGGCTGGGGCCTGGGGCCACAGGACAGGCATGTCCCCTGTGTCTGTGCTGAAGGAGGATGGCGGCACCGTGGTTGCCACCAGTACCATCAACACACTGTGCGTGGGGCTTGGGGGAAGATGGATGGCTTCACTTCCCCTCTCCTAGACCTGCACTCCCCCAGCCCCATGTCCCCTCACTTGTCTCCATGGGGCAGCACCTTGCTTTTGGCCTTTGTCTCCTCCTCTAGTTCAAAAGAGGCCCCCACCCCTGACATCTCTGGCTGGAAAGGCTGCTGCTGGGGTGGCCCCAAGCCAAGACTTATCTGGGAATGGGCAGCCTCACTCAGAAGGGTATCCTGATATGGGGGCACAGGTGGGTCTTTGGGGACCCCTCCTGGTTGGTGCCAGGGAGAGAATAGTGGCTCCAGCATGCTTTGGGGCAGCTGTAAAATGAGGGGGTCCTGAAAGGTGGGCAGGGCAGGCGGTGTCTGGTGGGAACCCCGGGTCCTAGCCCAGGCTCTGCCTCCATGGCTGCAGCTTTGGAGCAATGGCGTATTCACTATGGACAGGCATCATCCTCAACAATGAGGTCCTGGACTTATGCGAGCAATGCCCCCGGGGTTCCGGCACCACCCCCTCACCTGGTGAGAACAAGGCTTCCCACCCGGGGTCCACAAGGCCCCCAACTATGGAAGAGGAGGGAGGGGGCTGGGCTGGGGCTGCATGCTGACCCCTGGATGGGTTACTGCACTCGCCAAGCCACTATTTGCTCAGCAGTGAATGGAGACAGGGTGGGTAGAGGTCCCGGAGGGTTCTGGCCCCCAGTTCCAGGCAAGTGTTCCCCGTCCTTCATGGTGCCCTCTGTCTTGATCAACAAAGCCCAGGGGTCAAAGCCAGTGGTTGGTGGGGCTGGCGGGGAGCTCATCGTCTCTGCTGTGGCTCAGGTTAGTCTGGAGAGCTCCTGGCTCCAGTGTCTCCTCTCTGGGCAGCATACTGTCTGACTCTCCCTGGAGTGGGGATGTGAGGGCTGATGTAGGGTAGCGGGTACCCTCTTTCTCCCTGCATCCCTCATCTCTCCCCCAGGCCATCATGAACAAGCTATGGCTTGGCTTTGACCTGAGAGCAACCCCCATCCTGCATGTGAATAGCAAGGGCTGTGTGGAGTACCAGTCCAGCTTCAGTCAGGTGAGGCTGAGGTCTGAGCTGGATGCCTAGGGCAGACCCCACTTCCCAAGTCCATGTTGCTCAAAGCTACCTGAGAGGAACTTAGTCATTGAGATTCTTAGGCTTGGTACACTTCAGCTTTGAGGGCCATAGGAGTTGGGGACCTTGATGGGTGAGGCCGTCAGTGGCCTCCAGGCCAGTTCCATGGCGTCCAAGACAGAGAGCAGGGTGTCGTCTATGCTGCTCCCAGGCTGAGGATCTCAGCACCTTGGTCTCTGTTCTGTGGTTGATGCCATTTTTCAGAAGTGAGTTTTCCTGGCTGGGGCCTCTCAGACTCTCCCTCATGGTGACTTTTTCCTTGTGTGATTTGCAACTTTATTTGTAAAAGAGGTTGTTTTACCTGTGGCAGTCTGTAAAGTGATTTTCTTCTGGGGCACTAGGGCATTGGTGATAATTTTTAGTATATATAATTTTTTTTTTTTTTTGAGACAGCATCTCACTCTGCTGCCCAGGCTGGAGTGCAGTGTTGTGATCACAGCTCACTACAGCCTTGACATCCTGGGCTCAAGTGATCCTTCCTCCTCAGGCTCCCAGGAGCTAGGACTATAGGTGTGTGCACCACACCTGGATAGTTTTAGTTTTTTGTTTTTCGTAAAGACAGGGTCTCTCACCATGTTGCCTAGGCTGGTCTTGAACTCCTGAGCTCAAGCAATCTTACCACCTTGGCCTCCCAAAATACTGGAATTATAGACATGAGCCACCATGCCTGGCCTACAAACATTTTTTTGATTCCCCACAGAAGCCCATGGTGCAGCTTCAGGGGGTGAATTCTCCTGGCTGACTCCCCCTCCATCCATAGACAGAGACTCAGCTTCCTTGGAGCATCTTTGGGTTGATGGATGCCCTTTGTTAAGAACTATTTAAAAGAGTGATAGCGGCCGGGTGCGGTGGCTCATGCCTGTAATCCCAGCACTTTGGGAGGCAGAGGTGGGTGGATCACAAGGTCAGGAGTTTGAGACCAGCCTGGCCAATATGGTGAAACCTC